ACTCAACTTGATCCCTACAAGCAAAAATATGGAGATACGGGAGCCAGAGTTTTCCAAACCCCAGGACCAGTATGATTCTGCACATCCCAGAGTGATACCAAAGTGATGATAACATCAGCCAGATGCATAGTTTACTAAAGCCCAAGAGAGTATGGGAAGAACAGGACAGTAGATGAAAAACTGGCAAAGTGTAGTACGTGGGACAAAGGATGAGTCAGCAGCTACCTACAGAGACCAGTGACTAAGGATCAGATGGGAATAAGGGTATCCCAGCAGTGCCATCTGCTTAAGGGAGACACAGAGTCACAGATGCCCTCCTCTCCTGTGACTTGGCACTCTGTAAGACCCTGGGAACGTAACGGGAGCCCGGGCCAAGAACGGGGGAAACCCTAAACTAACTGACATTAAATTTCTTTCAGCTGACAAAATGGGAGGTAAAGATATTAAAATTATTAATAATTTAAGTAATATAGAAAAATTACATAGACCAAGATTTATGCCTGCTATACAAATATAGACTGAGATTAAATGTTAGGTTAGCTATTTGAAAGTTGGAGTAAATTAGACTACATTTACATCATTATTGTACTTAATAAAATCAGAAAGGAAAAAGACAATTCAGGGAAAATGCCATATAGTTGGCTGACTTAAGTTAGCATTGTCAACTGCTATTTTGAAATACATAGAAATTTCTAAGAAGTGCCCTTATCAACATCACGTTTTGCACTTTCCCTCCTGTCTGTCCCAAGAGACTATCTTGGTTTTTATGCACTTGTTGAGTACACTTTTAAAAGCGCCCATCCATTAGCACAACTGTTTTATGTCAATAGTTTTATTATATAGGAATGGAAAATTAAGTGAAATGTATACGCTGCAAAAAGTCTAAAGAAAATTAGGCTTCAACTACAATGCTTAACTTTCCATATCACACTTTCTACTGTTACCAAGATTGTATAACTAAATCTTTAGCTTTTATTGAAGAACATCATTCCCTCTGGGGCCTGACATATGCCATTGATTAAATCGTTAAATCATCTTAAAGGGGGAAAAAAAAAGACTTTTAGGAGATGCTTTAACTTTTAAAAATAACAAATACTTTTTGTTGATAGGAACATTTGACAATCTAGAAAATAAAGAAAATTAAAATTACTGATAATTGACCTTTGAGAGATAAACATAACATTTTAATTAATTCCATTCTATTTCATTCCCATTGTGGAGTGGTGGGGAAGGACACAAAAATGCATATTTTAAAATTTTAAAGTTTATATAGTTTGAGAATTTTTAAAGAACATATTCTGAATATCTTTCAGTGTAATGAAATATCCATTCACAGCATCATGTTTAAAGGCTGCACTAGATTTCATTGTAAAACTTTAACACAAATTGATTAACCCATCTCTTGTTGTTGGGCTCAGTTGTTAAAAACTTGTTAATTCTGATAAACTGGCTTTGATAAATAAATGATATAGTGGAATATTTATAAACATCCACAATTAATTAAGGGTAAACTTCTAGAGTTTAAAAGCAGATCACAAAGTATCCACTTTTGTTGGATTTCTGTTGCCATGGCCAATTCATGCTTCAGAAATTCTCTAGCAGCATTAATTCCCCTTGAAATACTTTAGAGTGCTCACAAAACTTCACCAACATAGAGCATTTCCCTAATTTTATTCTTACCAACTTCACATATATGTCTACTTCACTTTGCATTTATTTACCAGTGAGTTTTAACCTTTTAAAAATGTTAAGTCATCTGTAAATATTCATTTGTGATTTTTAACAATTGTCCTTTCTACAGCTTTAAAAGGATGTTCATATTTTTTCTTATTTTTAAGAGCTCTCTTTAACTGTTAAAGAAATACTGTTTTGTATCAAATATATTGTAGATATTATTGTCACCAATTTACTGTCACCCTTTTAGACCTTTTATTCAAGTATGGCATAGTTACAGAAAAGTGCACTTGTTATAAAGTACACAGTGTGATGAATTTTCATAAACTGAGCACACCTGTGTAATTAGTACCCAGATATAGAAACAGACCAACATGACACCCAGAGACCTTTCTGCTCCTTCTTCTCCTTATTCTCCCTGTAAAGGTAATTGATATTCTGACTACCAGCATAATTTTGCCTTGTTTGTTTATGTAACTTCATATAATTGAAATTATACTGTGTGTGCTCTTTCATGCCTGCCTTCTTTCACCGAACATTGTATTTCTAAAACGTATTCATAGTTTTGCACTCATTCTAATGAAATCTTCTGCATTCCCTTGTGTGGTACTAATCCCACTGGTGATGGATATTTGGGTAGTTTTCTGGTTTGGGACCAGAAAATCTGGGAGATGCAACAAACAGAAGAAAAATCAGAAAATTGAAAAGGTGAAATCATTTTTAAAATAAATAAATTTCTCCCAGCTGAAAATGAAACAAACCTTCATATTGAAAGGGACTACCAAGGAATAGCAGGAGAAATGAAAGCAGACCTTCAATTGGACATATCGATGTGAAACTTACAAACATCAAGAATAAAACCATCCAGCAAGAGAAAGAAAATAAATAGGTTATGTTCAAAGCAATAAGAATCACACTGGCCTTTCACCTTCCATCTGACATACTACAGGTAGCACACAATGAAACAATGCTTTCAAAAACATAGAAAAAGTTACCACTGGACTAACCCAGAAATATATATCCAACTACACAATTAATAATTCTGTACTCTGTAGATAAATTCTGTAGATAAAATAAAGATACCATCATACATGTGCAAAGCATTTAAATATTTATCTCCCACATATTTTTTTCTGAGCAATTTATTTAAGGATTTTACTCTGAAAAAAATGAGGATATAAATATATAATAAAATAGGAGACACTGGATCAACTAACCAAGGAGAGTAATAATGGGAGGTCCCAGTTGTACAACTATTTAACAAGTCTACAGAGCAACAAGGTAAAACCCCAAGACTATAAAAGGCAATATAAGAAATTCTGAGCTGAACATAAAAACACTATCCAAACTGAAAAAGGAATTCAATAGTCTTCAATTAGGAAGATGAGATGTATTCCGAGTGATACATATGTCAAAGCAGGAAAATAACACCCAAATTTTCTACCTTTACAATCAATTTTTAGGAAAAGCTATAAAAACTTAATTATGATTACAAAATATGTTGCAATTATTATCCATTTTGTCCATGTATATGGAAATGTACAGAGGACCATTGTGGGGAGGAGGGAAAGGTAGAGGAAAAAGCAAAGGAGAAAATATTTTCATCTTTCAAATTGAAAAAGTAGAAGACACTGATTGAATGATAAATAAAAGTTTAAACATACAATTTGTATGCAAATATTACCACACTGCCTCTCAGCAGCAGTAGAAAGATAGTGCAGTTATTTGTTTCTAAAATTGATCTACTCTTTTCAACAAAGCTCCTATTAAGTCCTTTTTTTATAATTTAAATTTTCTTTTCAATAATTCCATTCATTTCACGAAAATTCCTTAAAGCTTCCTTTCCCTCCTATTCTGTCCTGTCCAACCCAAACTCGAGGTAGCACCTCAGCAGGAGACGGTCATGTGACCGTCTGTACCCCATCCCCTGGGTCCTCTAGCTCCTCAGGTTGTTTCTTCCATGCACGAGCTCCCCACTGTCTTTCCCTGCTAAGGTTTGCCTTGACCAACTGTGTTTTGCTCTGTGAGCTCTGTCAGGCCTGCTGTATGTCCCTTTTAGACCTAAGCCCACTTTGGCTCTGTCTGGGCCGCCCAGGCCCCTGGTCTCAGGAAAGGTCTCCTCCCGCCCTCAGCTCGGTTCACAGCGTGCAAACGTCTCAGGCCTCCCCGCTACGGCCCCCATGGGAGGCCGGCTGGTTTTCATCTCAGCTGCTTCTCGGTCCCCACAGGACACACAGGAACCTGTGACTGGATTCTATATCACAGAGGTGTCTGGGGAGACGCAGACTTTGTAAACCTCACCTTTTCTCTCCTGACAGCACCTGTCCCTTCCCTGCCTTCGGCTTTCCCTCAACCACACGGTATTGCACCCTCCACCCCCAGCGGTGGAACGTGTGTAATCAGGTGTTTCCACTGCTCCTCTCTCTCCTCTTTCGCTCCTCCCCACTGGCTGGAAGGGGCATTCATTTACTCCACTTCCTGTCTGGAAAAGCCTCCCTCTACATCATATTTTCTAGATTCCATTTGACTTCCCTTCTTCTTTGATTTATGGTGATTAAACTGCTATAAAGCTATAAGAGAAAATGCATTTGTACAGGCAACAGGTTTCTTAGGCCAAACTAAGATGGCTGCCGCAGTGTTTTTTTTCCCCCGCCCATCCCCCACAAGCAGGTCTACTGGGCAGGCAGGAGTCACCACGGGCCAGTGTCCAAGGTGTTATCTCCTGTGTGAACCCACGTGATCCCACTTTCCCGTGGGCATGTTGCCACTATTGTTTAGAGCCATATACCGTGTTTTCCCCCAAATAAGACCTACCCATAAAGTAAGCCCTAGCAGGATTTCTAAGCATTTGTGCAATACAAGCCCTACCCCGAAAATAAGACCTAGTGATGGCTACACAGCGCATCTGCACTACCCATGCATTTCGTCTTGGTAAAGACCACAAGCAGCCCTTCTCATCTGCCTCATGAGAGCTCTATTGCTGGACATGAGAGATTGGGGCCAATGGTTCTAAAGTAAATAGAGTCGCAAGAAATTCAGGATGGAATTCGGGGTTTGGAGAGTTACGATGATGTTCCAGAAGAAGACATTTAACTATATTTGAATCAATGTAGATTGTTGTACCGTCCTTAAAAAAAAAAAAATAACACATCCCCTGAAAATAAGCCCTAGGGTGTCTTCCTGAGGAAAAATAAATGTAAGACCCTGACTTATGTTTAGGGAAACATGGTATAAGCGCTCGCCATGTTTCCGGCCATGCTTTTCACTGCTGCTGTCTCCCCCTGCCCCCAATAAAGGGCACGTCTCACCTGCCCGCTGCCACTCACCTTTTCTCCAAATTTCCGAAGCCTGCGACAGATTCCGCGCTAGCCACAGAGCATCCTCCTCACACTTGGCGTAGTCTGACAGGGTACAGCTGAGGTAAGTGTCCCCTCCACCCCAGCAGGGGAGGACATGTGGCCTCCTACAGGCTTGTGGCAGCCAGTGGCAGTGGTCCTCGTGTCGTGGCCCCTGTGACGAGGGGGCGCAGGTGGAACTGTACCCGGCCACTCTGGAAAAGGCCTTAATTGCGGGCCTTGGAGGAGTCGCGCGGCCTGTGGGGAGAGCAGCTGGTCGGGTGCCGGCTCCTCCTCACAGCCCTCCGGGAGCGGCATGGGGTCACCCTGCGGCAGGAAGCCCAGGTGAGGGAGCTACAAGAGACAGAGAAAAATCTGGAAGCCCAGGTGCAGACACTGGTGAAAAAGTGGCAGTTTTAGCCTTGGACGCTGAGGAAGCTTCGAGCATGCAGGAGGCTGAGGGCTAAACCCCCTCTGCTGAGAGCCAGCGGGTTGTAAAGCAGAGGGTGGAGCATGCGCAGCCCATGGGGGGGGAGGTGGCGCAGGCAACCTACAGTCACCGAGCGCTGTCTCTCTCTCTGCCGACCCCCGGGGGAGCTGGGACACACTGCAGACAGAGGCCTGAGGAGACCGTGCCTGCCTTGGTTGCTGCGCTTATGGGATGAGGGGCGGGCAGCTCCTGCGCTCCCCAAGGGAGATGGCACAATTGGCACCCGTGACTACACGTCCTCCCTGAGGCAGAGGCTACAGACAGGTGGTCGCTGTGGCGAGGGCGCGCGCTCCTTGCTTGAATGGCTCATGGCTGCCGCCTGCACAGTACGAGAGAACGCCAGAGAACTACCCGAAACCGCAAGTGGGCTTCATGCATGGACTTAATTCAGAGTCTTCGGGAGTTGGGAAGGCGGGAAGCCATTTTTGCAGTAGGTAACTGGCGGGCGGATGAGTAGCGCTTCAAACGCGCATGCGTGACTCGGTCTTAGCCTCAGCTCCCGGTCCTGTGGCTCGCTGGCAGCTGCGCTCACGCCCTGTGTGGAGAAGCAGATACAGGAGGTCACCACTGTTAGTGTTAGGTTTCAGTCTGAAACCATGGGTTCTTGGGTGCTCACGGCCGAAGGATGACCAGAGATGCCAATGTTAGGCAAGCACGTACATACACCAGGGAGGACCACCGGACCCAATGTCTGCAGTGGGGCAGGCAACAGGAAGGGCAAAGACAGGGAGCTTGGCCATGGTCTGCCCTATTTTATAGTGTCCGGATACGGACCTCCCTTGTGATTCAGAGGTCACCATGAAAACACTTGGGGGTCACATGAGCTGACCCTTAACTGCACATGTGGGTTCTAGGTCACTTTCTGGACTCTATGGTACCCATGCTACTTGGCCTGTGGGCTAGAGTCCTCTGCATTCTTTTGCAGCTGGCGTGCCAAGTTCTGATTGGCATATTCATAGGGTATTCCCTCCTCCCCCAGGTGTGGAGAAATGGGGGGGCAGACGGGACCAAGATGGGGGCAACAGCACCCACTTTCGTTCCTAGGAGACCCGGAATCCCTCACTATCTGCCAAAAACATTCCCCACCTCTCTTCTAGAGGCCCAAATCATTGGGTAGGGCCGCCAACTCATCTGAAGCTGAGTAAGGGGCGATGATTTCCTGTATAGGGAAACCTACAAAGAAACCTACAAGGTTTCCTTGTAGGTTCTCCTGGGTCGCTCCAGGAAACTTCAGCATATGTTCATGGTAGATTGTTTTAGTTGTAGGTGAGGAAGTAGGCGCCAGGGCTGGCAGAGAATGTAGGACCATCTGCCGCTTGATGGCTTCTAGGCAGGATGAAATAAACTTAGTTAGAAAATGTATGAGAATCAGTAACAATCTAAGAATTCCCAGGATGCAAAGTAACAGGGAGACCAAGGGGATTATTAAAGACATTCACCGAAGCCTAGAGGTCTCATCTCGTGTCTGGAGACGGGAGGTGAACTCCAGGATGGCACTGATGCTGTCTGAACCTGTCCTGACTAGCTAACACAGAGCAGCACGGTTCTGTTAAGAAGCAGGTGCCCCCACCTGTAGTTGGAAGATCAAAAGCCCACCGACTTCGTAAGGTGACCCCTGCCAGAGACTCTGACTATTCCTGCAAGAGGGTGAGTGTGTGGCTGGTGTTCAGCAGGGCTCGTGCTGCCCCAGCAGCCAAAGACTGCTTCAGGCCCTGTGGCTTCTCCAGCAGCGGCTGCTGTTCCCATAAAGGCAAAAAGTGGCAGTTTGGTCTGCCAGGGCAAACGGCGTCTTGCCCATGGGCACATAATTTGTGCTACTTATCCGAAAGAGCCACAGCAGGAGGAGTCTGCTTAAAAAGGTTCCAGGAAATCCACCTAGGGAGTACAGGAGAATTCACCTCGGGTGTTGGAGTCCTTGTCCTCGGGGCCACTCAAGTTTCATTTTGGTCCTACCACAGCTTCACCTGAGCGTGACGGATTCACGCGTGTAGATTCTGGGTATCTACAGAATCTTAATAGCAGTTGGGGCAGAAGTAAGACTGGGTAGGTACCTCCCCACACCAGGGTTAGCTGGGATGTGAGGGACCCATCCTTCCACTGTTTGATGAGCATTAAGTCCCCAGCTGACAGAAAGGACTAGGGGAAGAAGGGTCCCTAGGCAGTAGCTTGTGTTCTTGTAATGTCTGCAAGAACTGAGCTATTTGAAGGGTCTGAGGGTGTCCAGCCATTTCCCGTGAAGCAAAGGCAGGACCCGTTATCACTCTGTAAGGACTGGGGGAGGCCAAAAGGAGGTATGATGTCCTCCAGAAGTCTTCGGGAAACTTCAGGGGCCTTCTCAGTCCTGCAAGGAAAAGCTTTCAACCCAATGAGTGAAAGTGTCAATAAACACTATTAAGTAGCCTGCATGCCGTTCCCCGTTGTTGACGCTGCTGCCATCAGTGAACCCCTGATGGGCTTGAGGGATGGGGACTGAGGATAGATCTGCCCGGGCAAGGCAATGGTGGAGTATAATGTCTTCACAATTATGTAGTAGCCCACTGGGTTCCCCTAGTGTTTGTTCTGAAAGAAGAGTGGCAGGGTTAAGACCAGAGCAGGTCTTAGTTTTTAAGTCAGGGGTTTCTATTAACATGGCCTGGAATTTTAATAAGCGGCTATCTGAGATCCATTTTGTCGCCCCTCCCTAGAGGAGCTCAGAAGGCTGGGTTCCTCTTGAGGATGGAAAGAAACCCATGCTCGCAGTTCAGAAAGTAAGTCACATCCTAGCAGGTTGACAGGGCAAGTGGGAATTACCAGAAATAAATGTTCAGTGGTCACATCCTCCCACAAGCAAAGTAAAAGGAAAGTAAAGACTCGTTTGGTCGGAATCCCAGAGACTCCAGTGACCATACAGGATCGAGTGCTCAGTCTTCCAAAATAGGTGAGGAGGACCGAGCAGGCAGCCCCAGTATCCAGAAGGAAATTCACTGGCCTACCTGCAACCAGGAGGGTTACCCTTGGCTCCAGTCCAGTGATGGTTACCTGCCAGGGGGCTGAAGGGAGTGAGCTCCTTCACTGTTGTACCATGATCTCGTCTGGGAACTGACTCACCCCTGGTATGATCCCAAAGGACAGAGTGCGGTCCAGTGACCTGTTCAATGGCACCGATGACAAGGGGCCTTGGGTGGCCTGTCCCTGTTGGGACAATTCTTGGCCCAGTGCCCTTCCTGTCAGTAGATATGGCCCCAGAGATCCCTTCCTTTGGTAGAGGCTTTGGCCATTGGTCTGAATGTGGCGCTAATGCTGCCATTAACTGGGTCTGCCCAGCCTCCTTCTCTGGAGCCTGAGACTCAAGCTCAGAAGTTCTGTTATAGAAAACAGAATTAGCAGCAGCCGCCATGTCATCAGGGAGGTGGGAGGGTCCTGCATAAGCTTCTGGAGACTTTTCCTAATATCTGGTGCTGCTTGGGTCAAGAATTTGTTTTTTAGTATCACTCGCCCCCCATAAGAGTTAAGATCAAGAGTGGTGTGTTTCCCTATTGCCTCCCGGAACTGACCCAGGAAGGTTGTAGGATCTTCCTCAGGTCCCTGCACTATGGTGGCAACTTTGGAATAGCTGACCACCTTTTGCCTGGTGGCCTTGAGGCCAGCCTGAATGCATACTAGAAAATGTTCTCTCTCCCACTTCTCTTCTGAGGAGCTATTATTCCACCCTGGGTCAGTCGTAGGTACTGCTGTTTCACCCTGGATATCTAGGATCTGCAAGGTATAATTCAGTGACAAACTTTTGTGCCTCTGTTAACACTCTGGATTTCTCAAAATCATTTAATGTCTGGCTTAGGATAACATGGACATCTTTCCAAGCTAAGTCATAGGCCAGACACAAATGCTAGAATGTCTCTACATACTTATCAGGGTGATTGGTGTAGCTTCCGAGATCCTGTTTTATTTATTTTAACTCTACTAAACAAAAGGGCTTCTCGACCAGGGTTGGTCCGAACTCCCCCACTGTTTCCACCAAGGGCAGGCGTGGAGCCATATTTCCTTCTGGTGGAGGTGAGATGGCACCACTTTCCCTGTGTAGGGCCCCTTCAGGCCTCCCTGAGTATGGGGCAGCTCAGAACAGGTGGAAACCTGGGGAGGATCTCTCAACACCTTCATCTTACTTGGCTCTGTATACACCTTGCACTACTGAGGATTTTCCTGCAAATAAAAGGAACCTTATACACACAGTATCTCGGCCCATTCTCCTTCCCTCTTTGAAAAGAGGAAGGTGGGGTGATTTAGAGTCCCATGTGGTGGCCACGGTTCTCCACTGCCCAGCTTGTACTGTGTGGCCAGGCAATTGTGCAGAATAAGATCAAATGTTGGATCAAATTTGTATCTGGATCAAACATGTCTTAGTTTGAAGGAAAAAGGTGGGGGAAGGGAGCAACCAGGGTCCGTCAGAGCTGGGGCCCCCCAGTGATGACCAGGACCACATGGCCAAAGAACTGGGGTCCGTCAGAGCTGCGTCTCCCCCCTGGTGATGACCCAGACCACATGGCCAAGGGGAAAGGGAGAAACCAGTGCTCTGAGCCATATATAAGCACTTGTCATGCTCTCAGCCATGCTTTTCACCACTGCTATACCCCCCAACAATGAAGAGCACGCACTTCTCGACTGTCTGCTGCCACTCGTCTCTTTTTCCAACTTCCGAATCCTGCGCTGGAGCA